CTCTGGAGGAGCAGCTAGTGCTTTTAACCCACTGAGCTATCTTTCCAGACTTAGATGTTTGTATTCTTAAGAGCTTATTTTCCAGCCAGGCATTGGCGCATGCCATTAATCCAAGCACTTGGGAAGTAGAGGCATGCACATAGATCTCTGTGAGTTCAAGGCCAGCCTGGTCTACATAGTGAGATCCAGGACAGCTGGGGCTACAGGGAGACCCTGTCTCAAAAAGATCAAAAAAAGAAAAAGAATTACTGGTGAATGATATAGTAAAGAGAATGTCTTGTAGTAAACTGGGTAAGGAAACACAATTCTGATGCAATTCTTGCATCCAGCAGTATGAAAGAGGCACCTTGACATGGTCAAGTCTTTTTGCTTAAATAGCATATGCCAAAAACATAGAAATAAAAGGTAGTTGAATAATGTGGATTTACATTCTGGACCTTTTCACAAACTGTACAGCTTTCCACAGACTGTAAGAATGAATGCATTCAGAGATAACACTTGGTCTAGGTAAGATGAGGGACTATTCCCATCTTTTATAACTAGAAAATTTGAATTCTCTAGTTAGGACTAAGGAATTGAGTTTTTTTTTTTTTTTAATAAACTGTTATTTGTTAAAGTACTTAGATATATATATAATACCTCATAATAGTAACAGTGTCCAGGTCCTTCAAGGCAATTATGCAAATTCGCCTAGATCGTACCATTTTGCTAAAGTATTTTTTATCCTTCCATAGCGTATACAAAACAAAGAGACAGCCATGATCTGTCTTAAACTATTGGAGATAAAATAAAGGGCTATTGTTTACTCAGAATAACCTCTAGTATGGAATCATGTATGTTAGATAAATTAATAAAGAAGTAGAGCAAACAGACGTGAAGTTATTCTTCAAAACGAGCTATATTAGGAGAGTTTCAGAGTTACAGTGATAGCTAGCTATGATGAGGCCCTTAGTGGGAGAACATGAGGAGAGTTACAGTACCACATCATAGGCAGCATGATAGACTCTTGAAGGGAGAGAGCCTTCAGTTCCAGAGGACAAAGGGGAGTTCTTACTCTTACAAGTTTTTAGGGTCAACCGGTAAGTTCTACACTAGGTGATGTAGCCTGGCCTACCCTATGTGTTAGGAGACACAAAGCAGGAAGGTGGTGTTTAGAAGTGGGGCCATAATTCAAAGTTACCTTGGTCCTAGGCAGCACAGGGATACTTGCTTGAAGTGGCAAAGATCAAAGAGTACACTGTTGCAGTATCACCAGAAGAATAGGATCAGGGTCGCATAGTTGGATCTCTCCCACACTGCTTGTGTCTTTTAAAAAATATTTTATTTATTATTTTTATTTTATGTGTATGAGTGTATTGCCTGCATGTAGGTAAGTGCACCTGTATCATGCAGTGCCCGCGGAGGACAGAAGAGGCCATCAGATCCCCTGGAACTGGAGTTCTGGATAGTTGTTAGCTGCTATGTGGGTGCTGGGATTCAAACCCGGGTCTTCTGCAAGAACAACCAGTGTTCTTAACTGCTGAGCCATCTCTCCGGCCCCACTGTTTGTATCTTCAGGTAGTTGCGTCTCAAAGTAGCTGGTCCCTGATCTATCATTATCAGCCTTTTGTGTGTATGCAGACACACACATAAAACTACTTTTTAGGACAGGAAGTAGAGGGAGATGGGTCCCAAGGAATTGAGGCATTGACTTTGGATCTAGCTGTTCCTTGCTAGACTAGAATGTTATGAGTGGGAGCATGCCTAGGGTGCCTGTCCTCTTTGTACAGTGTTAGTTGTTGGTCCTTGGGTCAAAGACTGGTATCTATATTCATGCAATAGTAGGATGTTATCCACATGGTTCTGAGTATGGTGTTGAATAGTATTCTAGATAAATTGGATGGTGTTGAATAATAATGTTGACAAATTGGATGAGCATGCAGATTAGGGAGGGAACTACAGATACAAAAATAAAAATGGCCGGATGTGGTGGCTCATGCCTTTAGTCCCAGCACCCATGAGGTAGAGGCAGGAGGATCTCTGTGAGTTCAAGGACAGCCTGGTCTTCATAGTGAGTTCCAGGACAGCTGGGGCTACAGGGAGACCCTGTCTCAAAAAGACCGCCCCCCCCCAAAAAATCAAAATGGTTATTAAAGAAGTAACCATAAGTACAAGCCAGTAAGTCTTATGAAGGATTCTGAAACCATCTTCCCTATGACTCTGATGCCCATTTTCTGATTATTTTTTCCCCTGTTGTCTGATGCTTGAAGCACAGTCAGCTAGCTTTCATGTTGGTATCTCTCACCAGGCCAGATTGGTGTATATAAAAGTAATAATCTTTGTCCAAGAAGTTGCAAAGTCCTCCCTTCTTTGCTGTTAGGAAGTTTAGGCCTTTTTTATTTTGCAGTGTTGCTCTTGCCAAGGAATCTACCTAATCCTGGATTTAAAAAAAATTACATTTATTTGTGTGGGTGTGGGTCTGGGTATAATATGATTAGGAGTCAACCCTCTGGGAGTGAGTTCTCTCCTTCCACCAAGTGGGTCCCAAAGATCAAACTCAGGTTATCAGGCAGTAAGTGCCTTTACCTGCCAAGCCATTTCACCCTAATTCTTTTTTTATTTTCATTTTATCTTCAATTAAAAAAATTTTTTTTAAGGTAAGGTCTCCCTGTAGCCCCAGCTAACTTGGAAATTGCTGTGTAGACCAGGTTGGCCTCAAACTCAGAGATTCATCTGCCTCTACCTCCTGAGTGATAGGATTAAAGGTGTGTGCCACCATGCTCAGCTTGAAAGAAGTATAATTTAGAACTATGTACTCGATGTTTTGACGCACAAAGTGAAACCAGATAAGAAACGACTTCTGTTTCATCATATATTCTATATATCACCTATTCTATTATGTCCTCCTTAGCAAGCTGGCTCAGCAGGTAAAGCACTTGCTGTACAAGCCTCACTACCCAAGTTTGATCCCCAGGACCCACATAAAAGTTGAAGGAGAGAACCGACTCCACAAAATTGTCTTCTGATCACCACACATAAGCTGTGGCACCCATACCTACACATATAATTCACTATATACACACAATAAAAAAAAGTTTTATTATCATGTAGGCATTTAATTCTGGTGTCTCCCTCAGAAGTCTTCATTCAATGCCATGTGTATCTCAGAATTAATTAGTAATGTGTACTTACTAAGTAAGTAGTCCGTATCTGAGTATCTCTGGAGTGATTTACAAGTCATTAAAATGAAATAAGAGATGTGATTACAGACAATGATAAAAACCAGCATGCGAATTATTAAGTCAAAGTGCAGTGGTATTTATGGTTAATTCTCTAGTGCCAAAGAAGTTATGCTTTCTAACAATTTGACTCAATAATGACTTTTCCCATTAGCAAGAACAACAATGAAATGAGAAACATTCACAGTCCCCATACCTCATTATGTACACCATGAAAACTAATTAGGATTCAAGCAGATATCCTTTACCTTTTCTACTCTAAAGGAACATGAACTATGCAACCAACCAAATATAGCACTGATTAGAGAAGTTCTTACTACAAAATGAAAGCAAAAACAGAGGATGAGCTTGATAAAACTAATTATGGTAGTTTAAATCTTCTTGGCACATTTTTAACAGAGGCAGCAAAGCACAATAGAAGAGATCTAGCTTTCCCCTATTATAATGTTGTAGACCAGGGTGTCCTTGATCTTGCAGAGATCTGCCTCCCTCTGCTCTGCCTCTGCCACCTGAGTGGGCGTGTGCACATGTGTGTGGGTATGTGGACATGTATGCAGGTGCCTGTGGAAGCCAGAGGGTTCTGAACCTCAGGAATGGTGTTACAAGCAGTTGTGGGCTGCCTGATATGGTTGACTGGGAATTGAACTCAGGTCCTCCTGAAGAGCAGTATATGCTCTTAACTGCTGAGCTATCTTTCCATCCCTAAACAATAAGTCCTGGAAATTATATGTTAATTTCTTTTTTTTGGTCAGTTTCTTAGTGTTTATTATATACCATATCTTGCTTTATTCAGTCAGTCCCTTGTACATAATCATTTGGATTATTTCAGTGCTTTGCTATTAAGATTAATGTTGCAGGGCCAATAAGACCACTCAGTTTGTAAAGGTACTTGCCATTGTCAAGCTTGTCAACCTGAGTTTGATCTCTAAGATTCACATTGTAAATGGGGAGAACAGAATCACCCATCTTGTCCTCTGACATACACATGTGTACCGGAGCATGTATGCACGTGCTCAGTGAATAATGTAATTAAAAATATTTAACATAAAACTAGTGATGCATTTTGTAACCTTGTACACAATTTTGCCATTGTATCTTGGAATAGATCTTTGATGGTTCATATGGTGGATGGGACTAGGGATGTGAGTCAATTGGTAGACTGCTTTCCTAAGTATACATAAAGCCTGGGGTTTAATTCTCATAACCACATAAACTGGGTATGGCCATGCATGCCTGTAACCCTGGCACTCATGAGGTACAGACAAGAAAATCAAAAATTCAAGGGACTGGAGAGATGGCTCAGCATTAAGAACACTTGGTGCTCAATCATGAGGACTGGAATTCCTATCCCAGCTTCAGCCTACGTCAGGGAATCTTCTGGCCTTTCTGGGCACCTGAACACATCACATACACACATAACCACATGCCTATGCATAAATTAAAATAAAAGTTTTGCTAGCGATGGCTCAGTGGTTAAGAGCACTTGTTCTTTTGCAGAGGACTCAGGTTCAGTTTTCACCTCCCACAAAGTAGATAACTTTTAGTAACTTCAGTTCCACAGGATCTGACTCCCTCTTCTGGCCTCTGTGGGCATTGCTTGCACATTGTGTATTTATATACATACAGACAAAATATTCATACACATAAAATAAAAATAAATAAAATTTTAAGAAAAGTTTTGCTGCCTACTTATATCTTATGTTTAATCAGTTTGTTGGGTTGTAGTGCTAAATTAAAATGAGGTTTACTTTCTCTGAGACCTTTTTCTTGTTCAAATTTTAGGACCCTTCAAAGTTGTACAAGAAAGCAAGTGATGCTGCAGTCATTGAATGCCAATCTGAAGAAAGCATCCATCTTCATTCACAGGGAGAAAATAATCCTTTGTCTAAAAAGCTTTCTCCAGTACACCCAGAAATGGTCGATTATATTAATGCAACACCATCTCTTGTTAGTAGTCGGGATCATGATATAAAGGACAGAACATTACTTAATGGAGGAACAAGTGTAACAGAAAAGTTGGCACAGCTCATTGCTACTTGTCCTCCTTCCAAGTCTTCCAAGACAAAACCGAAGAAGTTGGGAACTGGCACTACAGCAGGATTGGTAAGCAAGGACTTGATCAGGAAACCAGGTGTTGGCTCTGTAGCTGGAATAATACATAAGGACTTAATTAAAAAGCCAGCTCTTAGCACAGCAGTTGGATTGGTAACTAAAGATCCAGGGAAAAAGGCCATCTTCAATGCAGCAGTAGGACTGATCAATAAAGACTCTGTGAAAAAATTGGGAACTGGCACTACAGCGGTATTCATTAATAAAGACTTAGGCAAAAAGCCAGGGACTATCACTACAGTAGGACTGCTGAGCAAAGATTCAGGAAAGAAGCTAGGAATTGGTATTGTTCCAGGTTTAATGAATAAAGAATCGGGCAAGAAATTAGGACTTGGCACTGTAGTTGGACTGGTTAATAAGGAGCTGGGAAAGAAATTGAGTTCTACTGTTGGGCTAGTGGCCAAGGACTGTACTAAGAAGATTATAACAAGTTCAGCTGTGGGATTGGTTAATAAGGACATTGGAAAGAAACTAGTGAGTTGTTCTATGGCAGGACTAGTCAATAAAGATGCCATAAACCTTAAATCTGAAGCACTGCTCACCATTCAGGAACCACTTAAGGCTTCTTGTAGTACAAACATTAATAATCATGAAAGTCAAGAACTTTCTGAATCTCTGAAAGACAGTGCTATCAGCAAAACGTTTGAGAAGAATGTTATGCGACATAGTAAAGAAAGCATATTGGAAAAATTTTCAGTCCGAAAAGAAATTACTAATTTGGAGAAAGAGATATTTAATGAAGGAACAAGCATTCAGCAAGACAGTTTCTCATCCAGTGAAAGGGGAGCCTTTGAAACCTCAAAACATGAAAAGCAACCTCCTGTATATTGCACTTCTCCAGACTTTCAAATGGGAGGTGTTTCTGATCCATGTACAGCTAAGTCTCCTTTTAGTGCAGTAGGAGAAAGCAATCTTCCTTCTCCATCACCTACTGTATCTATTAATCCTTTAACCAGAAGTCCCCCTGAAACAACTTCACAGTTGACTTCAAATCCATTACTTTTAAATTCTGCAACAGAACAAATGGAAGAAATTGCTGAATCTGTTGGAAAGAACCAGTTTACTTCTGAAAATACCCACTTAAATGTTGGTCATAGGTCATTGAGTCATAGCATGAGTATTGAATGTAAAGGAATTGATAAAGAGCTAAATGATTCAAAAACTACACATCTAGATATTCCTAGAATAAATTCCTCCTTGGGAAAAAAGCCAAGCTTGGCTTCTGAATCTGGTATTCATACAATTACTCCTTCAGTTGTTAATTTCACTAGTTTATTTAGTAACAAACCTTTTCTAAAACTTGGTGCAGTAACTGCATCTGATAAACACTGCCAAGTTGCTGAAGGCCTAAGTACTAGTTTCCAGTCCAAACCATTAAAAAAAAGAAAGGGAAGAAAACCTCGGTGGACTAAAGTGGTGGCAAGAAGCACATGCCGGTCTCCAAAAGGACTAGAATTAGAAAGATCAGAGCTTTTTAAAAATGTTTCATGTAGCTCACTATCAAATAGTTCTGAGCCAGCTAAGTTTATGAAAAACATTGGAGGAGCATCTTTTGTTGATCATGAGTTCCTTAAACGTCGATTGCCAAAGCTGAGTAAGTCTACAGCTCCATCTCTTGCTCTCCTAACTGACACTGAAAAACCATCTCATAAGTCTTTTGTTGCTCACAAACTGTCCTCCAGTATGTGTGTCACTAGTGACCTTTTGTCAGATATTTATAAGCCCAAAAGAGGAAGACCTAAAGCCCAGGAAATGCCTCAGCTAGAAGGTCCACCTAAACGGACTTTAAAAATACCTGCCTCTAAAGTTTTTTCTTTGCAGTCTAAGGAAGAACAAGAACCCCCAATTTTGCAGCCAGAAATTGAAATTCCTTCCTTCAAACAAAGTTTGTCTGTATCTCCTTTTCCAAAAAAGAGAGGTAGGCCTAAGAGACAGATGAGGTCTCCAATGAAGATGAAGCCACCTGTATTATCAGTAGCTCCATTTGTTGCCACTGAAAGTCCAAGCAAGTTGGAGTCTGAAAGTGAACACCATAGAAGTAGCAGTGATTTCTTTGAGAGTGAAGATCAACTTCAGGATACAGATGACTTAGATGACAGTCATAGGCAGAGTGTCTGTAATATGAGTGACCTTGAAATGGAACCAGATAAAAAAATTACCAAGAGAAACAATGGACAATTGATGAAGACAATTATCCGCAAAATAAATAAAATGAAGACTTTAAAGAGAAAGAAGCTGTTGAATCAGATTCTTTCAAGTTCTGTAGAATCAAGTAATAAAGGGAAAGTGCAATCCAAACTTCATAATACAGTGTCAAGTCTTGCTGCTACATTTGGTTCTAAATTGGGCCAACAAATAAATGTCAGCAAGAAAGGAACCATTTATATAGGAAAAAGAAGGGGTCGAAAACCAAAAACTGTCTTAAATGGCATTCTGTCTGGTAGCCCTACCAGCCTTGCTGTTCTTGAGCAAACAGCTCAGCAGGCAGCTGGGTCAGCATTAGGACAGATCCTTCCCCCTTTACTGCCCTCATCTGCTAGTAGTTCTGAGATTCTTCCATCACCTATTTGCTCTCAGTCTTCTGGGACTAGTGGAGGTCAGAGCCCTGTAAGTAGTGATGCAGGTTTTATTGAACCTAGTCCAGTGCCATATTTGCATTTGCACTCCAGACAGGGCAGTATGATTCAGACTCTTGCAATGAAGAAAGCATCAAAGGGGAGGAGGCGATTATCTCCTCCTACTTTGTTGCCAAATTCTCCTTCACACTTGAGTGAATTGACTTCCCTGAAAGAAGCTACTCCTTCCCCAATTAGTGAGTCTCATAGTGATGAGACCATTCCCAGTGATAGTGGCATTGGAACAGACAATAACAGCACATCAGACAGGGCAGAGAAATTTTGTGGACAAAAAAAGAGGAGGCATTCTTTTGAACATGTTTCTCTGATTGCCCCTGAAACCTCTACAGTCCTAAACAGTCTTAAAGAAAAACATAAACACAAATGTAAGCGCAGGAGTCATGATTACCTCAGTTATGACAAGATGAAAAGACAAAAACGAAAACGGAAAAAGAAATATCCACAACTTCGAAATAGGCAGGATCCAGACTTTATTGCAGAACTAGAGGAACTAATAAGTCGTCTAAGTGAAATTCGGATTACCCATCGAAGTCATCATTTTATTCCCCGAGACCTCCTGCCAACTATTTTTAGAATAAACTTTAATAGTTTCTATACACACCCTTCTTTTCCCTTAGACCCTTTGCACTACATTCGAAAACCTGACTTAAAAAAGAAAAGAGGGAGGCCCCCTAAAATGAGAGAGACAATGGCTGAAATGCCTTTTATGCACAGTCTTAGTTTTCCTCTTTCTAGTACTGGATTCTATCCCTCTTATGGCATGCCTTATTCTCCTTCACCCCTTACAGCTGCTCCCATAGGATTAGGTTATTATGGAAGGTACCCTCCTACTCTTTATCCACCTCCTCCTTCTCCTTCATTCACCACTCCACTGCCACCTCCTTCCTATATGCATGCTGGTCATTTACTTCTTAATCCTACGAAATACCATAAGAAAAAGCATAAGCTGCTTAGACAGGAGGCCTTTCTTACAACCAGCAGGACTCCTCTCCTTTCCATGAGTACCTACCCCAGTGTGCCTCCTGAGATGGCTTATGGTTGGATGGTGGAGCACAAACACAGACACCGTCACAAACATAGAGAACACCGTTCTGAACAGCCCCAGGTTTCCATGGACACTGGCCCTTCCAGATCTGTCTTGGAGTCTTTGAAACGTTATCGATTTGGAAAAGATACTGTTGGAGAGCGATATAAGCATAAAGAAAAGCACAGGTGTCACATGTCCTGCCCTCATCTCTCTCCTTCAAAGAGTTTAATAAACAGAGAAGAGCAGTGGGCCCATCGAGAGCCTTCAGAATCAAGTTCATTAGCCTTGGGATTGCAAACACCTTTACAAATTGACTGCTCAGAAAGTTCTCCAAGTTTATCCCTTGGAGGATTCACTCCCAACTCTGAGCCTGCCAGCAGTGATGAACATATGAACCTTTTCACAAGTGCAATAGGCAGCTGCAGAGTTTCAAACCCTAACTCCAGTTGCCGGAAGAAATTAACTGACAGTCCTGGACTCTTTTCTGCACAAGATACTGCACTTAATCGGCCACACAGAAAGGAACCACTCCCTTCCAGTGAAAGAGCAATACAGACTTTGGCAGGTAAGAGGGTTACCTTGTTGTCTCTTATTTCCCCACAAGTTGCTGGATTCCTGTAGCTGACCTTTTAAATCAGTTCACCTTTTTGTTTTGTTTGTTCTTTTGAGACAGGGTCTCCCTGTAGCCCCAGCTGGATTAAAGGCATGCACTATTATACCTGACTTAAGTTTACCCCTTTTAAATTTTTGTTTTTATAAATGAATTTTGAAATCTTAAAAGTTTTTGTTTTAGATGTAAGAAGTGGGGTTGGACAGATGGCTCAGCAGTTAAGAGCATAGGCTGCTCTTGCAGAGGACCCAGGTTCAGTTCCTACCATCCATGTAGTGGCTAACAACCATCTCTAACTCCAGTTCCAGGGGATCCTACACTCTTCTGACCTCTGCTGGCATTGCACAACATGGGTGCACTTACATACATGCAGGCAATATACTCATACACATATAAATAAAATATAGATGTAAGAAGTAAGAGGAATATCTTTGTATTTTTT